ACTCTGAGAGGGTTTTATTGTCCAAGTTTATTTTATTATTGAATATTTTTTACATTTTCTGAGCTTATTCTCCAAAGACGTGACAGGGCAGGAACCAGACGCGTACCTCAGGCTCAGAATTTAAGAGGGAGCCAAACAACTCCGTAATCAAAACACATCTTATTTTAACACAATATTCTTTAAGTAAAAATAAAGGCCAAAAATATCAAAAATGTAAATAAAGATCAACAGAGACCTACGTTCTGTCATGTGTGTGGACTGTAATCTGTTTGACTGCAGGGTGAAAAATAAGGGGGAAGGAGGGAATCCTCCGTTTTCTTCTTTGGTTTAAGAACAAAAATGGACCTAAACTTACTGTCTCCAGCTCCTGACAGCATTAGATTAGTAATATTATAGTTGCAATTTTAGTGTAATTTTAGTGAATAGAAGCCATTGTTCCTATCATCTAGATTTACTCTATGTATTCAAGTGTCATTATCTCAACTAAGGATCTGCTTAAAGTAGTACAGCATTTGGAAAGCTGAGTGGAAGTTTAAAAAGAAATAATCCATGGTCTCAATTTGCTCTGTTTGTGGCATATTTCCGCTATGCAGGCTTATCTGCTTTGTTTCTGATTCTGTTCTGTAAATATAGGCATACTCAGCTACAGGGGAGAACTTTTAGTGTTTAGAATGGGGAAATTTTCATAAAATATACGAAAACGAATGGATGTGTGTGTGGATATTTCCTTTTGGATTTGCCTCATACATAACACAGGCATAATTGACTTCACTTATTAATTGTGACAATTGATTTCATTCTATATAGTTCTGTGCAGAAGTACCACCACTCTTCTTTGCTCCCCTGTGTAGCAAAACTCGAGTCATCTATACTTGTCGTTGCCTCTGATTTCTCTCTTCCCATCTTCTCTCTCCCTTCTTAAACTTTATTATAAAATAATTTCATCTTTTTAGAGAAATTGCAAGAATCGAACAGAGAAATTCAGATGCCCTTTGCCTAGATGCGCCAGCTATCATATTCTGCCCCATTTGCCTGACCATGAGCCTTTTTTTTCTTCACACCTTGAGGATTGGTTGTACACCTCATGCCCCTTGGTCCCTAAATATTTCAGCACGTATCTTCCAAGAACAAGGGCATTCTTTTGTGTAACCACGTTTCAATTATCAAATTGAAGAAATGTATAGGTAGAATGCTATTATCTCATGTAGGAGTCTGTATCTACATTTCACAAATTGTCCTGACAATGTCATTTATGGGCATTTTCTTCTGATCCGGGATCCAGTTCAGGCTCGGGCACTGCATCCGTTGCGCTCTATCTGGCATCCTTACCGTGGACAGCACCTGGGACTTTGTCTTTCGTGACACTGATGTTCAAGGGTACTGATGGTTTGCTGGAGAATCCTTCAACTCGGGCTTTTCTGACGTTTCCTCTTTCTTGGAGTCGGAAGTGCATTTGGGGCAGGAACACCCCACAGGCCACGCTGTGCCCTCAGTGCACTACATCAGGAAGTGCAAGACGTCAGGCTCTCCCATTATTGATGTGAACTTTGATCACTTAGGGAAGATGGTACCCTTCTACATTTGTCCGATAACAAAACTACCCATTTTTCCTTTCCAATTCATAAGTCATCTGCGGGGAGATACTTTGACACTGTGTGACTATCCTGTTGTTTTTTAAACTTTCACTTAATAATTTTGGTAGGCATTGATGATTCTGGCCTGAATCAGTTATTACCACGAAGCTTGCAAAATGGACATTTTCTAACTCTATTATTTCTTCTACATTATTGGTTGGCTCTCTCTGCAGGGAAGAGCTTTCCTTTCTCCGTATTTATTTATTTGTTTACTTACTATTGGTATGGACTCATGGCTTCTTGTTTCAATCAGCAGTTTATAATCCATTCTCCCATTATTCATTTTGATGCTCAAATTTTCCCATATTTCCTCAGAGGGGCCCCCTTCAAGTTGTCTCCTCTGTCATTTGTAAATGAGCCCATCATTTTCGGAGCCCTCCCGTATTTTCCGGAGTAACAAGATGTTACCGTTCATCTTGTACTTTTCCTGCCCCAGCGCTAGACTCAGCCCTTTCTCCAAGGTGGTCTGGTTCCTTTTAGTGAGAAACAGTGTTTGAAAAACAAAACCCGGGTGCTGCACGTGCTCGTTGCTTCTAAGCATACAATAAAATGTGCTGTTTTAAGCTCACAGTTCGATGAATTTTGACAGATTTATACACCCCTGGTCAATTCTCCGTCTTCATTGCACTTATCGATCCACAGCATTTTGACAGCAACAGTCACATCTTCCTCCCTGCAGCGCCTTCCCCACTAGGCTTCCAGGAAACAATGCTCTCAGTGTGCCTCCATCCCCACGGGACACTCCCTCTCATCTCTGTTGTTTTTCTCTCCTCTTCCCCGTACCCTTTAAAGCTGAAGTACTCCAGAACTCAGACGCTGGTGCTTTGCTCGCCTGTATCTACATTCGCTCCTAGGTAATCTCATCTGACAACTCCCAGGCTTGTATCTCTAACCCAGTCTTCTCCCCCAAGCTCTGGATTTTATGTCCACTTATTTCTACTTGACATCTTCACCTGATTTTCCAGTAGATGTCCCAATTCAACACGTGCAAAACTGAAATCAAAGCCACGCCTGCTCCCCCTGCAGCCTTCCCATCTCAGGTGACGGCAGCTGCATTCTCCCAGTTGTTCAGGGCCCAAACTCGGAGGCACTCCAAAATGTTTTCAGAATCCCCCCATTCTACTCCTCCATTCTACTCCCCCGGGTCTGAGCAGCCGCCATCTCTCGCCAGGATTATTGAGTAGCCTGATGACAGGTGTCACTGCCTCAAAGCTCCTACGACGTGTCCCCAACACAGAAGCCAGGACAGCCCTTTTTAAGTTTGAGTGTGATCATATCCGTCTTCTGCTCGAAGCTTTGCCGTGCTTCCACATCTCACCCAGAGCAGACCCGTCACAACCTCTGCAGGGCATGAGTCGTCCTCGCGCCCCCTCTGCTCCAAGACCTCTTCTCTTACTCCTCCCGTTTCCTCTCCTCCGGGTCCACAAGGAAATCCTGCTGCTCCTCCCCTGTGCCAGCACACCCGCCACGCTCCCACTCCGGGGCTTGTTGAGCCAATCCCTCTGTGTGGAAGGCATTTCCCAGATATCTGCTGGGCCAGCTCCCTCACCTCCTCCACGTTTTGATCAAATTGTGCCCTCTTGTGAGGCCATCCCTGACTATCCCACACAAGACTCCGGACCCCTCATCCCCTGCCCTCCTTTTTTCCCCATTGCACTTACCACCAGCCGCCACATTTTTATAAACCACTTACTTTTTGTTTCTCGTTTATTGTCTGTTTCTGCAAGACTGTAAGGTCCATTTGCTCACTGAAGTATCTAGAACTGAAGGATCTCACCAAGCATCTAGAACAGTCCTTGTCTCTTAGTAACTCTCAGAATATTTTTTAATAAGTGAATGAAGCACTTTATCCTGTCCTTTGATTCGATCAACTGATGGAGAGAAGAGAGAGAACCCACCAGCAGAACCGAGTCCACACGACACGCACCGTCTCTAAGATTGACGCGCGCCGAGCATCCGCCTCAGTTGTTCTCCTCTCCGTGTGCACTTGTATGCCTCTTTCCACTCAGGAAATCGAGACCTATTTTAAAATAAAAGTAATTTTAATTAGGCGGCGTTTCCAGAGTAGGTTTTGCTTGCCCTGAATGAAGCCTTTGCATGCATAATACAACCTCGGTAAGAACTGGTTTGGTCATTCACTGCCATTGGGGAGAGCCACATGCTCAGGAGGCCGTGCCCACTGTGCCCTGTGCTTCTGATCTCCATTGTGATTTTGAGTCGCATAGAGAAAGAGGGGAGATGGGAGGAGGCCTGAAAGAAACTAGAATTTCTTAATATATGAACTGTATCTTTTCCTACTAGAGTCTTCAATTGACTCCAGATCCACAAGTGGCAGCAAACATCATTTACGTGGCCCTAGAGTGATTCACAGAATTTCAGCTGAACTAAGATATACTTTGACAGACATTCAAATAGTGTGCTTGAGGTATTTCTAGACAGTCACCACGATGTCAACAGTCAAGTTTTTGGGGTTTTTTTTTTTTGTGACGAAAATTGGTCCTGAGCTAGCATGTGTTGCCAATCTTCCTCTTTTTGCTTGAGGAAGACTGTCGCTGAGCTAACATCTGTGCCAGTCCTCCTCCACTTTATATGGGACGCCGCCACAGCATGGCCTGGCCAGTGGTGCTAGGTCTGTGCCCAGGATCCAAACCTGGGCCACCGAAGCAGAGCCTGCGAACTTAACCACTACACCATCGGGCCAGCCCCACCAGTCAAGTTTTAGAAGGCACACATGATTTGAGTATTAAAATATCTTTACCTACAGTCATCACCAGTAAAAGAGAAGATACCCCATTAGAAATTAAACGCCTTCTCTTCTTCTTGTCATGGGGAGTCTAGGTCACTTTAGTCCCGAGATTATTAATTCCTTTGCTACTAACGTTCCTGGAACATTAAGAAACACTTCCTTATGTCTAAGCAAGGTATTGTCAACTCTTCTAATTCAGGCGAAGGATTTGATCAGGCTAGAGAGAGTTTAGGATGAAAACCTAGTGTCAATTTTGGAACCTCGCTTCCAATATCACAGAAAAAAGTATATCTTTTCCTTTCAAATCATGCAGAAACATGTAGCTTTCACTTGCCAAGCATACCAGCATCATTAACAAGAAAATGAAGTTTTTAATTCATGTATTTTATGTCTTCAAAATTCCATTCAGAAATATCTTGACATTTTAATGAATATAGTATATAAGAAATACCATTTTTGTTCCAGAAGAATTTCAAATGTAGAGTTAAATAGACTGCATTTAAGAAAGCACTGAGAGCATCTTTTCACATTCTCTCCTTTATAATACATTGTATTTTTACATACTGGAGCAAATAAGGCTTTTTAACTATATAACTTCTGAATTTGATTACTTTCCACAGATACAACACACTCAGGGGAAATTGGCACCAAGAAAAAGGTGAAAAGACTGTTAAGCTTTCAAAGATACTTCCATGCATCGAGGCTGCTTCGTGGGATTGTACCACAAGCCCCTCTCCACCTGCTGGATGAAGACTACCTGGGACAGGCAAGGGTGAGCGTCTTACCCCTCTCTCACCTCACAGCCGGCCAGTGACTGGAGCGTGTGTCTGAGAGCACCAGGTTTGAGTCCTGCCTCTGCCACGGAGGAGCCCTGTGACTCCAGCTAGTTAGTCAACACATCAAGACTCTTTCCTCAAGTATAAAATGATGTTAATAGAAACATCCACCTCATGAGGGTGATGCTGAGATTAGATGAGGTAAAGCTTGTCTACACGCTTAATATATTCACGCCGAGCACATGCTAGCCATTTTCATTTTTATAAATGTGAAAAACACATTTTCACAACACTAACTGAAGTGAAATTTTGAACTGATTACCATTGATTACCAATGAGAGAATAACTAAATTCTTTAGCCCATTAAATTATCTCCTTGTAATATCTGTGGTTAACCCAATAATTACCAACTCTTGGTTCTACCTTAGGCTATCAATATAGGGCATTGTCCTTTATATAATTTTTAATTCAGTCAAGTAATCTTTACAAATTTTACAATTATTTTTGCAACATATTGATTCAACTGAGGGAAGAAATTAATGTGTGACAATCTAAAAAATGTTCACAAATTGTCTCTAGCCGAAACTGCCAAAGGAATTCAAATATCAGGAATAAACTGCCTCAGTTCAAACAGAAGTCAAAAGCAGTATCTTATAGTTTACATGCACAGTAATAGCATGCTATCCAAGTACTGTTAAGAAATACATACTGTTAAGAAATAAGCAAGCACACCTAGAAGGACCTGCAACTAGAGTATACAGTTGTGTACTAGGGGGCTTTGGGGAGAAGAAGAAGAAGAAAAACAAAGATTGGCAACAGATGTTAGCTCAGTGCCAATCTTAAAAAAAAAAAAAAAGAAAGAAGCAGCAAGTAATATCACAAGAACTAATTCCCAACATTAGGTCTACAAAAGGAAAAAGAGAATTTACTCCTTCTAACAACCCAAGGCCTAAGATTGAGTGAATGTCTGTTTGGTTGGTTGATTGGTTGGTTGGCTGGTGAGGGGAGAGCCAGACTAAGCTACCAGCACTGGAGCATCAATGACAAGCAAGCGCTGCCGGTGGCGCCTCCCCTCGAAGCAGCCGCCTTGAGCAGGCGCTGTCGAGATGGAGCCAGACAGCTGACCGGAAGTCAGCTATCAGAGACAAGTCCTGGTTCTGCCTTTAGTATTTATGACTTGAGTAAAATGCTCACTCAATCAAGACCCCACAAATAACCCATCATCCTTTCATTGTTATGATGCTGTTGTGAAGGTTTTTGTGCCCCATGACGAGGCCCCTGGATTTTATCATAAGACGCAGGGAAGCCGTTCAGGTCTGGCCCTCACCTGAACAAGTGGCTGTGAGAGGAGCTATAGTGAGGACAGTCAGCAAGTGCAACTTTGCGTCTGAGAGTCAACACCATCTAATTCTGAGCAGGGGGTATTCTGAAAAAGAAAAATAGGATAATAAGCCTGTCTGGGACAGCAGGTCTTTACCCAATATTCTCAATTGCCCACCTTCCGTTCCTAGCTGGTGGAGTGGTTAATTTCCCGGTTAGTCCACACTGAGCAGCGTAATGCACTCAGCAATCATTTTGACTTTGTTTATAAGAAATTTGTGATAACCTTCTCCCTTAAGTGTGTAGGAGTTTATGGTGTAGACTCCACTGAACTGCGATTGTGCCAGCTCTCTAACACGCGTGTGCTCGTTCTGCACGAGCAGGCTTCCCAGCACTGTACACATATTGCTTCATTGAATCCTCACAACAACCCTCGGCCACAGATGACATTGTCAGCCACATTTGTCAACTAGGAAACTGAGGTACAGAGAGGTTGAGAAAGTTGCCCAAGATCCCACAGCCAGGAAGCGCTGTGGCTGACATGGAACCAGGCATTCTGATTCCAGAGCCCATCCCTGTCACACTGTTGTTAGTAGCAAGACCAGTCAGGTTTGTTTTACTACAAAGCAGTGGTACGTAAAGCTGTAGTATGCTACTGTTTTCAACTTTTTAATTGTTTGGTTCATTCCATCTCTGAGTAAACATTTGCGTCTCCGACGTGACTCAGTCAAGCACTGTGTTTTTTTTGTCGTTTCAGCACATGCTCTCCAAAGTGGGAATGTGGGATTTTGACATTTTCTTGTTTGATCGCTTGACAAACGGTAAGTCACCCGAAAGAATTCTCACTAAAATAGACGCCACGAAGTGGGATTAATTTCATGAAAACAAAATTTATTTTTCAGCACCGTGATTCTCTTTTCCTTCTTTCCCCACTTTCGTAAGTCTACAGCCACTCAGGAAGGCCCAGGGCAAGGGAATGTTAATTCAGATGGAGAATGAGCACTGAATTTGGCCCGAGAATCTTAAGATCATTTCCTTCTGGCCGTGATGATTCCAAAGAAATTTGGAAACCACAGATGAGATGCTTTCCCTGCAGAATACTTTGGCCATATCCAAAAGGAGGAAGTCCATTGTTAGTCCGTGAAAACTAGAAGCTCGAAAGCTCGTCTGCTCAGTCCTGACTCTCACAGGCCAGGCGTTCATGCCCTTTCATTCAGTGAGCAGAATCTGCCTGTGGCAGGTGTCGTTCAGATGTGTTTGGCAGCATCAGAAGAAAACAGTTGCTGATGATAGAGTGTAAAAGTTTAGGCTGCACCCTTCAGTTTTGAAATCTTTGTGCCTATAAAGACTTTCCTTAAGAAAAAATAAAATTCCATTATATTTTCATCTGCTCATTAAACAAATGCTGAAAAGCTTAGGGAGCCAATGAAAGACATCACACTCAAAGCTGATCTTTGTACGTCCCGCCATCTACCAGGCTTGTGCCGTCAATCATCACAGATGGTTCTCTCACCATTCCATCACCTGACAAGCAACGTACAGTCAAGAGATGCAGCCTAAGACCATGAAACCAAGCGTTACCCTGCGGAAAGCTAATGAGACCACATTGGGATGGATCCCATAATCTTGTGTTTCAGTTTGCTCAAACCAACTAAGAAACGGGCATCAGCAAATGAAATTAACCATGAACAAAAGGACTGGTTCAATGGTATTTGTTAAAAACAAAGTGTAATCAGGACTCTTGTATATGAAATGAGTACTTGCCAAAGATTTTATTTAACTCAATTAATTAGAGATCCAGTAAGATGCCATAACTAGTTCAAAGGAGAATTCAAAGAGCCACATACACATAAGCAGTAGGAAATGCTGAAATGAATTTATAAATAACTGCAAAACTGGGAGGGGGAAATCAGTTGTATTTCCATCTAATTTCATTTGTGTGTATATGGACAAGAATCCCCTGCAGCAGTCAGTTACCTCCAACTTTGTTGTGAAATAGCGCAAAGACCGTGAAAGTTGCAGAGAGACATGGAACCAGGCACCCTGGAAGAATGCATGTGGGTAACACCTAGTTCTCCATTCAAGGCACCCGGTTATCTTCTTGATCCCTTTCAAAGTCTTTCATAAACTCTATAATGCTCTTAAAATTCAAAATCATTATTCTGCAATAAGCAAGATTTCCTGAATGCTTACAAGTTATTATAGCTTCAATTTTTTCTCTCTGCTGGCTTGAGTTATAGAATATTTCATGGTCAAATCTCCTCTTGGGTGATTTTTCTATTGGAAAAGGATAGGCTATGATCTTAAGCAACATGGTGGCTTAGATACTTCTGTAAATGTGGGAGTCAATTGGAAGCAACTCAAGGCACATTTCAAGTGATCATTAAACTGTATCTTTAAAAAATACATAAACACACACACACACACACACACACACACGTGTGTCCGAGTCCTCAGTGGGCAGATTCCTTCTAACTCTTAATGTTCTCATTGCCTTGGGCGTGGGGAGAGGGTCTGAGCTAACTTTACTTCCACAATAAGTGAAACCCTAGGACCAGATGATAGTACTAACATCCTTCACACTTGAATAACTTCAAATCCAAAGGGGAAAACAAGTCATCCTATCAGAGAAACTTCATTACAGAAGCTTTGGAGCTTATAGTCGGTCTTGGTATTTTAAGGGTGATGGAGACGAGTTAAGAGGGGTGACGGGGTGACTGTCCTCCCACAGGAAACAGCCTAGTGACGCTGCTCTGCCACCTCTTCAGCACCCATGGGCTCATTCACCACTTCAAGTTAGACATGGTGACCTTACACAGGTTTTTAGGTAAGTCTCTTTTCCATATTCCTACCCTCATTCCCATGAATAATATCCGTTCATAATGCTCTTTAATATAAAGTGGCAAGAGCTATAGCATGGTAGATAAAGTCTTTAAATTAATCTGAAATTATCTCATCTTAATTTTAAAAAGTGGTTTACCCGTTTAAATCACGGAAAAAAATTGTGTACTTGATTAGTTATGTTCACGATAGGTAAAGGTTATATAAAGAAAACCATCAAGAGCATATAACTGTCAAAAAAGATACAGATCTTCTCCCACATTAACAAAACCCCATCCAGGTACACCTCAAATAATCCCAACCTGGACATGAGTTGTTGCAAATAGTCAATAGGCTTTTTAAAAAAATCGGAACTACAGTTTATGTGGCACCCACTAGGTACAGGGTGCCTTTAGTATGTTATCTCTAGCTGTTTCAACAACCCGGCAAGTTGGGTGTTATTGTCACCGTTTGACCCACAGTTAAGGAGAGGTTCTGAGAGGTTTCCTAACTTGCTCAAGGTCAACACCTAGTCCTTGGAAGAGCCTCAGTCCCAGCCCGGGTCTGTCTGACGTAAAAGCCCACCATCTTTCCACTCAGCTCCACCATCACTCTATCAAAAAGCAGCCCCAGCTCTAACTGACTTTATTTGTATGCTTATTTATCTGCCTGTGAATTACCCAGGCACATTTTAAATCACCAGATAACTTCCCTCTGCCACTTAGCTTGTTCCTGGCTTCGTTGACTTGCCCCATGGCTGTGCTTTGGCTGTGGAATCTCGCTGGGTGTTATCAAGAATAAAATACCAATGACAATGGTGACAGCGCAGCCACAACCACCGGGCTTCCATGGCAACTACATATGCAGGGACCTCTCCTAAGGACTTGCATATAGTAACACATTTAATCCTAACAGCAACCTTTGATGCTGGAGCCATTGTAATCCCAATTGTATGGAGAAGGAAATGAAGGAAACTTGTGGTTAAGGAACTCACCCAATACAAACAATAAGTGATAGAGCCAGAGTTTAAACATAATTGTAAAATAAACCTGCTGAATGAAAGGTATATGAAGCCCATCAGAAATCTCTGAAACCAGCCATGACATGGCTCAGTTCCAGAAAGACAAATAACCCCAAGGGAATTGAATTTAGACTGCTTGAGCAAAGTCATCGCCATGAATAGAGCCAAATAATTCTGACATTTTTAGAGAGGGAGAACACAGGTACTTTGGACATGTGTGTGCACCCAGAGTACATGTAAAGATTGCAAAGATTCGATGACAGAAATAACACCGGAATCCAGAACCAAGCTCATAGCACGGGTTGAGAAAATATGGCCCCATTTGCAAATCCGGACATTCTATACACAGTGAATATGCCGTGTCCCAAGTGTTGCCTTGGTTATTAGCTGAAGTGGGCTAGTGGTTCTGTAAATAGCAAACCAAAATTGCTTGCTTATGTCTCTCCTTGGTGCCAAGAGCACTCTGGCCCTTAGCTAGAAGGGTGTGAAAGATGATAGCTTTCTTTCTCTAAATAAAGTCAAAATAAAAGTCAGGAGTCCTCAGTTGGATCAACGCAGTACCTCGAGCTTCTGCCTGAAGAAGCCCCAGATTTCCTCTGATCGGCATTTGTTATTCAAGTGATGAGCCAACCTTTGGAAATCAGGAGTCTGACGCTACTGGGGCTCTTTAAAAGGAAGCCTCTTTTATAGCACGTTATTCATAAATGGCAGCAAACCTAAATAATTAAACTATAGTGTGAAATAAAGTTGTCCTTTTCCTGCATATTTGTTTTTCGTATGAATGAAAGCCTTCATGAATGCCAGAAAGGGGAGATTTGTGAAGGTGGTGAGGAATCCCCAGGGCCTCGCAAATCCTGTTAGCCTTTCTCCCGTCTGCCCCGCTCCTGTCCACTCATTGCAGCCCAGTGGACCTGCCAAGCTTGCAAACCACGTTCACGTTTAAAGGGTCCTCGGGCTGCACATTTTGGAGATCCTGCTATTTTTAAGCAAAAGGGACTCCCCCCTAAGTCTGAGTGAGTATGCCCTTCTGTGTGGGGTTTAGCTGACTGAGTTATCTGTTTACCTCCTAGTCATGGTTCAAGAAGATTACCACAGCCAAAATCCATATCACAACGCTGTCCACGCAGCCGACGTCACCCAGGCCATGCACTGCTATCTGAAGGAGCCAAAGGTAAGGCTGCCCCCTCAGCTGTGGGGAAATGCGAAGCAAGCCACCTGCGAGGTCCCACGTCACCCCCCACATCAGAATAACTGAGTTACGTACGGGTCGTTCACAACATGAATACAGAAGGTTTATATTAAAGTCCCAACATCAGCTCCGAAAATCGTGTAATAGTCATGAAAGAGGAAGTAAGTTTTCTGAGGTTTCTTTTCATAATTTGTATATTTTCAAGGCTGCGTTAGGACAAAAAAGCCCTCTCCAGGACAATCTGTGTCTCTGATATCTTCAAAAGTCCCAGAACGAACCGTTTTGCCTTGGACTTTTGCCACGAACGGTACCAGCGCTGAACTTTTCTGGGAAGACTCTCCCACCTCGTGGTCTTTGATTGACAAATAGAATCAAAACGCTTCAATAATCAAGCTGCATTTCCTATGAAGGCAACTGGACAGCCTGATTCAGGCCCAAGAAAAAACTTATGAACATCAAAGACCTCATAGCAAGCACATTCTGATGTGATAAACCAATCCAAAATTAAAAACATAATAATAATGCTCATTACTCAAAATCAAGGCATTTCTTAGCCATATAAAACTTAGTTGGTATAACATACATGATAAAATTTCTTTTTTTTTTTTAAACCAAAACCCAAACCTAGACTATGGTAGTTTGCTGCTTCTTCTTCTTCTTCTTTTTTTTTTTTTTTTTTTTTGGTGAAGAAGATTGGCCCTGAGCTAACATTTGTTGCCAATCTTCCTCTTCTCTTTTTCTCCCCAAAGCCCCAGTACATAGTTGTATATCATAGTTGTAAGTCACTGTAAGTCATTCTAGTTCTTCTATGTGGGATGCCACCACAGTATGGCTTGATGAGTGGTGTGTAGGTCCACACACTGGATCTGAACTGGCGAACCCCAGGCCACTGAAGTGGTGCTCACAAACTTAACCACTCAGCCACAGGGCTGGCCCCCAGGATGAGCTCTCTTAAGGTTTTTGGAAAATGATCTCCCAGGCAAAGACTCTGTTTAGTTCAATCAGTTTTAACATCAACCACTAAACATACAGATGCCAGACAGGCGTTCCCAATACGGAACCGGGTAGACGCCTCATTCCTGTCAAATATCCCAAGTAGAGCAAAGGTTTTGGTTTTAGTCTCTGAGTGGTCTGAAGTTGTATATCACACAGTGGTATATTTAAAGTGAGTGCTGGGCCCCCACTCTCCTGCTCGTCTTCCTAGCTAACCAAAGACTAACAATCTCTCACACTCACCCACTACTTACTACATGTGGAAGAATATGCAAGCCTTGCAATTCAGCCTGCTCTTCATTTCATATGGAAAGAAGTAGCGACACTATGGATGGTCGAGATGCACAAATGATTTATTTTAATGGGTCCATCACCTTGGCTTCCACTGTTTCCTTCATTTATGGCTTCCTCTAGAAGACGGTTGCTCAGGCTCTGCCTTCTGCCTGCCCGCCGCAGAGCAGGGCTGCCCACGGGCAACCCCTACCACAAAACGACACCGAGGGGCAGTCAGAAGAGGGGGCTACCTGAATGATTACACAATGTGAGTGGCTTAATTACCTTCTGCAAAGTCCCTTTTCTCCTGCGATTCCACGTGAACGTCACCTCAGTGACTGCTTCAGAGGGTAGAGGTCTGGATGAAAGCCCTGATGGTTCAGCGAGGATGATTCATTCAGTTTGATTTAGCCAAAGCAAATGCTAACCTTTTCGGGAAAACACACCAATCAGTCTCCCCATTTGATTTTTCTAACAGCTCGCCAGCTTCCTCACGCCTCTGGACATCATGCTGGGGCTGCTGGCTGCAGCAGCACACGACGTTGACCACCCAGGGGTGAACCAGCCATTTTTGATCAAAACTAACCACCACCTCGCCAACCTGTATCAGGTAAGGGAGCCCGACACTGAGCCAGACACAGTACGGCCAGTGACGTGAGGGCCAGCCCTGGAGCATGAATCTCACCCTTGGAGATAGCCTTCATTCAGGGTCAGCCTCCGTGATGACCACAGCCGAAGAGCATGGGTTTGAAATAGGTCCAGGATATCCCCCAGGAAAGATTAAACTGATTTATGAGGATATCCAAGGAATTCAGTTTGCCCCGAAGCGGGTTTGAAATTGTCCAAAGCCAAACGGATCTCGGAGCCCACCCTCTCGCGGTCTGAGAATACCTGCCTTCCTGGGAACCACTCATACACGTGGCCAGTGGAAGCCAGTCCTTGCAGGACTTCTGTCAATGAAACTTCCCAGGTGCAATCCTAATTCAGGCTTATGTCTTTAAGACCATTTATGAATTTTATTGGTCTGAATCAGAGGTATGTTATCAAAGGCAAGAGGCATACTTTGTCTCTGGAAAATATTTCAGCAGCATGAGTGAGCTGGCCTGGAGAACTTTGATCCGTTATATTCTTTCAGATATTAAACCTTATATCATAAATGAATTACTCCCAGAATTTTCAACATGGTTCTTTGGAGACCTTTAGTTGTCATTCACAAAATCATTGCCTACAAGAGAGCCATTGATCTCAATTTTAGTAGATCTTTTGAAAAAGTTCAGTGCTGAAAGAATTCCTGACAGATCCCGTAAAACAGCTGCCTCCTACAAGCTGTTGTGACTGGAGGTGCATTTATTTCCAATAAAGTGCAATTGGAAGATGAATAAACGCCTTTCTCCATCTAGTTGTTTAGCTTTTGGCGTAGATGGCACCCCAAGGTGTACAGATCCACCTGGTATGTACTCAGTATCTGGCTCTCTCGGGCTGTCAGCCAGCACGAGAGCTGGGATAGATACCGCTGTGGAGAGGGGACAGGACGATAGAATGAAGAAAGCCTTTTGATGATGAGCTAAAAACCAAACAAAGAAAAATTAAAACTAAACTTTCTAAACCACCTCAGAAGCTAAACTTACTGCTTAAGAAAAACATAAATACTTGACTAGGGGGAAAACCAGTGTCTGGACTGAGAGCCCCAAATAGATTTTCTATTCCTGTCAATCCTGACTTTTTCAAATGTCTTTTATTAGACGAAGGAAATCAATCAGCAAGATTGACTACTCGATCCATTCCAACATAATGTAAATGCTTACATAATTCTAATTTCTCATCATCAAATAACTCCTATCAATGGAGTTTAAGAGAGTATCAACTGCTACTGACTGATTTGTACATAAAAATAGGGACCATAAAATTGTACTCTACATGTAACATACATAAAACACACAGTGAATTCACATTGAGACAGGAAATCAGAAAGAAACATGCCAGACGTTAAAGATAAAAGCAAGAAAGTGTAGAATTTCATCAATAATGAAGAATTAAATACTCGCCACTAATTAACAAAAATTGATTCTCCAAAGAAAGCTACCCCAATCTATCTTTTTCAGATACCAAAAATGTTCTCAAAAAAGTGGATGCCTTACTCAAACTTTTGAAGTACAGATAATTTTTAATAATTCTTTACTTGAATATCTTTGTTAAAAATAAACATTCTAATACAACCAAATTCTGCAGCCCTTTCAATGCAACATACAGTCTTGTATATTTTTAATCAGCAACTATTTATTGCACATATCGGATGATACACTAGGATCTAGGAGTACAAAGATGAATAAAATATAATCTCTGCCTTCAAACATTTGTTGAAACTTGGTTGCTCATAATGTGCAAAATCCGAGAAAGCTTAATCCCAGTTTGAGAAAGGTTTGAGGAATTAGCTAAAGATATACACATAGACGCAACATTTCTAGAAAGTCTTTGAAGAGTAAATAAGTGTGCTGCTCTTTGTATCCAAAGATATTGCTACAATAAAGTGGGCTATTATTTTTTCTAGAAGTGGCTTTATCCATCTGAGCTGTCTGGCTTGATCCTCGATAGGAAAGAGAAGGATCCTTTTGATAATGTTTTGATAGAGAGAAGTTGGGACATAGGACTCAAAAGCCACATTCAAGATACTGTTTTCTTCAGTCCCCTGCTCAGTTGTTCTTAGGATCTCTCGGACACTAAGATCCATGTCTTTAAGTTTTAGGGACAGTGTTGAAGGCAAACCAGTATTGCATATTATCATAAAGATATTTCCAATGTCCTAGAGTTGGCTAGGAGAAAAGCTGAAACTGTTATCAGCAAAGTTGGGACTTAACATATTAAAAGTAAAAATTGTTATGAGGACCTGAAAATAATATGAGATTTCAATTTTGTCCAAAAAATTTATGATGCCTTTTATGTTTGGCTATATACCATTGCTTCTTAACTATTTGGAGGAACTCCAAAAAGATAAAGAAAATTTTCTGTAAAAATTCAGTTCACCGAATTATATAACTAACCTTTATTCAATACTTACCATGATCCAAGTGCTGTGCTAAATACTTTTTATATATTATATTACTGAATCTCCACAATAGCCCAGTTAGCTGGGTACTATTATCAACTTATTTTCCAGAAAGAGGAAATTGATACGTAGGAAATTCAGGAGTTGTTCCTGAAAATAAACAGCTAATGAATGGCGAAGTTGGGATTAGAACTCACATCTTTTGTCTCCAGAGCTGAAGTGCGCTGCACATACTGCCTCTAAAACTCATATTAATCACCTACTGTGTGCAGACAACTCAGAGCTCTCCTCCAGCTCCTCTTACTACTGTGAAGGAGACGAGAGGACTATAAACAAGAGGCTGAGAGTGGGAGAGACCTTGCTAAGTGCTCTGTAGTAGAGAGCTGCAAACAAAACACGATGGGAAGACAGAAACCGATTCTGCAGATGGATATATCACCCAGCGTGTTGTGAGTATATATACACACAAAAATTATACACACATGCGCACACGTGTGGTTAACGAGAATACCGTAGAGAGGATGTGCCCGCAATGATGAGGCTTTGAAAACACTCTGTGCATGACTTTGCTACAATCCAGACTCACCAAAAATGAGATAAAGTGGAAGAGGGCTTCCTCCGCCTCCTTTTGTTGGCTGTGCTCTTTCAGTTCTAACAAATAAGAAGATCATTGCCTCACACCGGCCTGTGCTCCTGCCCTGAGATAAGGAGAGAGCCAGGGCAGCTGGAGCGAAGGCCGGGTCCGAGGGCTCTCTCCGTTGCCTGTGTCTGGGCTGTACTCACCAGCTGCACTGCCAACCCGAGTTCAAAGCGAAGGTGATGAAGCACTTCCCACTGGCACGTCTCTGGTCAGACTGGAAGTGGTCCAGGGGTCGTGGTGGACTGAGGGGGAAAGGAGCAGGTGAGAGATAGAACCGAGAATCTTCTGTCCCTCTACCCTCCAACCCCTCACGCATGGGGGCTCAGCAGTTGGGCACAGCAAGCCTTACATCAGATACGTCTTGGTTATTACAATGCCAAGAGGAGTCACTTTCAGTTCGATTTAGAATTTAGCTCTTTTTGAGGGAGTCCAACTAGATATTAACTAGTGACAGAGCAAGCTGTATGAATAACATAATTCATAACTAATTGTTCCGTTAAACATATGTATTACACTCTATACTGTCTTGCAGGAGTTTATAATCATTTTTCTTAGTCACTTTCCACAAGCACTTAGAGCAGGTCAGCATTTTAACCCCTTTTTATTCTTAATGACTCTGAACCACAAATATGAAGCTGACAGAGCCAGGAGCAATGTTCCTCCCACGTGGTCCTACAACCTCTGCTCTAACAAGCAACAGTGAGGATGATACGTGCCCTCACAACTTCTGCTGTATGAAAGGTGATTACGACAAGTAGTGAGAACATGGTAAAGAGGAGGCTCAGATCTCATTTTCTGTTTCATAAAGTTTCTTCACAGTGAGGTGGCTGGCATGTGGCGTGTCTGTGGCCCTGATCTGAGCACAGGCCTGCCCCATGGATGGCAGTTGGTGTCCAGGCTCCTCGCTGTCAGAGCAGTGTCTTGGGCCGACGCTTCCTGCGGGTGGTAAGCATGGCAGTGCCATAGTTTCTTCAAGGGCCAAGGTCTTGTTTAGGACTCAAGGAGCTTCTGTTCCCCCGAGACCTCCTGGACTGGGGCCATTGCAGCGTTACCGAGGAGACTACTTGGCTTGTTAGGGAAGAACTCAGAGACTTCATTATCTCCCGGAGTCTTGCTTCTCTGTTTCGTGAGCAATTAAAAATGAAAACACAGACTATGCCTGTGTTCCTGTTGTTATTTTCCTTCTTGTATCCTCTGCTTTAAAAGGTACAGTGAACTCTGATTCTTACCGCACACCAGCCTCGGTTTAGCAACATCATTCTAAGTATTTTAATCAAAGAAATTGTCCAATAAATAGGGAAAAAACCTAACAGTTTAAAGCTGCCTTGTATGATAGTAAGTCTGCTCTGCCAGCTTCTCTTTGACAAATAGACTCTTGATTTAATTTGAAAGCCTGTGTTGGTGGTTTATTAAATGCCAGATGTGTTGTTATTCGGGAACAAAGAGATTGTTTTGTTTTTAGGGCAGATAATACTTGATAATTCAGACAAAAAGGGAAGTAAGGGTTTTACCTTAGGGGTTTTAAGGGGTTGAGTTTTCCAAATTAAAATTCTAATTAGATTTTCTTGCCACAAAAGTGGATATTTGCTCTTTCAACTTCATGGTGAAGATTATTCTTAAAACTGCAAATAGGAATAGTTTACGGCACTGGAGCACATTGTCACCGGGATAGTGGGCAATTGCTGGATTGATGCTTCTTAAAGGTCAGCAGATGTGGTACCCAATGTGGGATTCTAAAACAGCGCCAGGGTTTCAACGGATATGAGGTGGCATCGTCTCATCCTATGTTCAGATCTCCATGAGCATTTATGATGATTTTCCTCTTTGTTCAATCTACCTTTTGCTAATATTGGTCTTCGAGCCACTATGAAAGCCAGATAAGCCTGTAGGAACAAATCCAGCTCCCCGTTAGGAAGGACACAGATCA